TTTGAAAAAGGAACATATCAACACAATTTTTTTATTTAAAATACCTTAGGTATTTCCTTTTCGTATTGTGTATATTTTTTTAAATCTAATTATTTACCTACCCATGGAAAGGATTCAATATAGCAAAGAAAACCACTTCATCTTAACTTTTGAAAATGTTCCGGAAATATTCTGAGTTTCTAACATATGTTTAATGTTTATGTCACATACTATAAGTTACAAAAATAAAAATTTATCACGACACCTATGTACAAATTATATTTTTCTATTATATTTTCTATGTACAAATGGCTGCCATAGTTTAAAAACGTGTTACTTTTGTGTTACAATTTTTAATTTCATATTTTATTTTTCAAAATTATAAAGCTATAATTTTTTGAAAAACGTTGTGGATTAATAATTTTTTTGTAAATAGTACACATATTCTATTCCTCTGACTTAATTTTTTACTTAAAATTTTAATACCGTATAAAGAGGAGGCTACAGCTAAGAGGTGATCGATTTCGATAAATGTTATGTAAATGAAATTTACATTGAATATTTTATAATACCTGAATAAATACTTATTATAGTATTAATATTTGTAAGAAATTAATATTAAATAATTTAGTATTGTAAAATTTACGGAAAAACTGTAAAAAATTATTATGTTTTAGAATAAAGAATAATTCTTTAATATTAGCCACTTGCTTTCTCTTAAAATAAAAATTATTTAAAAAAAATAATTTTTTGAATTTTTAGTTTCATATAATTCTTGATTTATCAATTATTAAATATTTTTTACTTCGATGAGAAGCTGAAAAAAATATTACTTTTACTATGATGATTTTTTATTATTATTATTATTATAATTTTTTTTTTTTTTTTGGGGAGGGATCTGTTAGCATTTTTTTCAACTCTCACTCTTATTCCCGTATATGGTGGAAATCATCAAAAAAATACAATTTTAAAAATCTGTGATTTTCGACATTTTTTAAACTTTTTTCCTATAATTGTCATAACTATTTGAAAAATGAATGAATCAAAATATTTTAATATAGATACCTTAGGTATTCACCTATCAATTGGTATATTATTTTGTAAATCTGACAATGTCAATAACTTCTGAAGTACTATATCAAAAATTATTTTAAATAAATTAATACCCTTATTAGGTATAAAGAATGAATTAAAGAATACCAAAAATAATTTTCCTAATAAAATTATTTAAACAAAATTGAGTGACTAATATCAAAAGAATTGCTCTGTATACAACAATTTAATAACTTTTTATAATTTCGCCATAAAATTTTCAATACTAAATTATTCAATATCAATTTTATACAAAATTTAATTACTATAATGTAATTAGTTATGTATTCTATTTATAAATCATAAAACTTACCACAATAATATTATTTTTTAAAACTGCTATCTGGTTATAAATAAGGAGATAATAGTGCATAATTAATTACAAACTTGAAATAGTATTTCATCATATTGAATATGAAACTTAAGAATTTTTCATTAAAATATAAAAAATATTTTAATGAATAAATATGAAAAGTTGACAATCTTATGATTTACTTATTCGGCTTTCAAGTTAATCAATAATACAAAACATAATATAAGAAAATTAATAAAAAAGAAAATTATTAGTTTTTTACACAACAATAGTTCTGGTTTTAAAGAATTATACAAATTTCTTTCAATATTAATGAATGAATATTAAACAAATAAAATATATAAATCTATAAAGAAATTCTATGATTTTAAATTAAATTAAAGGTGAAAATACTAAATTCCCAACATGTAAAATTAAATTATAAATAATTTAATTAAAGTGATTGAAGGTTTAACATTTCTAAATGTCTATCAAAACAAAAATTAAATTTTAGAATAGTTATAATTTAAATAATAGTTTTGAAAACTTTATTATCGAGTATAATTATATTTACTATATACTATTTGTTAAGTTAAAACCCCAAAATTAGTAATGAAATATAAAATATAGAAGTGTTATTGAAAAAAAATTAATATATTTGAAAAATAAGTTAGACAGCAATTTTTTTATTACTAAAACATAAAAATTAAGCTTTGGTATTAACAATTATTAATATTCGAAATTAACATTGCAATGCTAATATTTTTTTATACCATACATATTTGACACAAAGTATTAAGGGGAATTTGTACATTATTATCATTGATAAATAAAGTATTCCAGTAAATATTACAAATAAAATATATTTAATTCACTCTTAATTTATATTAATTTCGTTTCTACACTTTCACAATAATTTTATCTAAATAAGTAAATAAATTATAGTTAAATTTTCTATTTTAAAAGATATTCTTTAATATTCTTGTGTTTTTTTATTAATCGTTAATATGTGAATATTTAATTGTATAACATCAATTCCGACTATTTTTATAGGATTTTTTACAACCAATAGTTTTAGTTTTATTTTTAATTTAATACTTCAAAAAACATGCTTAACTTGATATTTTCTTCACGATAAAATAACTATTATTAAATCAAGTTTTATTTTAATGTTATTTTTTTATTCTTAAGAGCGCATGCTTAGTTTTATGCTGATTTTAGTTTTTGAGAATTGTATCAATTGTTTAATATATAGAAAAAATTCTAAAAACCATTAACTAATAGTTTTTATTTTCATTTTTCATTATATGTAGAAAGATATTTAATCATAAAAATAATTTTTTTTTTAATACTTAAGTCAAAACGGTTTTGAGTACATATGAAACAGCTAGTGTTGTTTTTAACTCGGCATAACACACATCTATTTCGAATTAATGATCTCCATTAAGTTCTTAAATGCATTTTTGATGGATTAATGAAAATATACGAGTAATTAAATAAAAGAAAAATATTTTTTTTATACCAAAATATTCCAACAGCTTAAATATATATACATTTTTATTTAAAGTATACAAAATAATCATATTTTATCATTTTTTTGGTTTTTCGAGGTTCGAGATTTTAAAGCAGCAATTTTGTATATTTCACGAAGAATTAAGACCTGCGTTATTTGTCTCTTCTTATAATTCAAATCAGTCATTGGGCTTTGACAATCCTGCTAAGGAGTGGCTTTTAGCCGGGTTTTTATTTATTACTAATTCTTCGACGGTAATAACATATAATTTGATAATAATTTGATCATCATAAAACATTTCAAAGCCTGCATCATGTTTATCTCATTTTAACTAATCTATTATTTCTTTTGGTGTTGATATTTTCGTCAACACTTGCAGTCTAAAAAAAAATCCATAACGGCTCTAAATAATTGGTGTTTCCAAACTTATTGAATACTCTGTAAATGATAATTCTACTTGTTTATAAATAAAAAAAAAAAAAACAGTACGGTCACACTGACTATTTTTAAAAAGATGTTAAGTAACAAGTAGTAATAATTACGGCGGCACTATCGTTGTAACCGCCTAGTGTTATTCTTTTGTTTTGTTATAAATAGTTTTGTACTAATTAGTATTTTTTATTTTCCTTTAGTTTCTGATGTAATTCAAAAAAACATTATCCCTAAAGCTTAAAATATTTATTCTAAAGAAAGTTAACATTGTTTAGAAAATACCTAATTTATTTAATGTTAACGGGCTACAAACTTTGTTACATGTGTGCATTTGTATATTATATTAAATAATTCATGTTAACAGAAGAAATATAATATAGACGACTATACCAATGGATCTAAAATTTAATTTAACAGTAAAAAGTATGATCCAAATTAATATTTGATATTCAACATCTAATAGTCATTTTTTTAAATAATTTGTAGCAAAACATTTTAACACGTGTAATAACTAATACATATATTCTATAAAAATATATCACATAATAAGTGATCCCCGTGGATAAAATAAATTGAAAAGTAATACATTTCCTTACCCTCTTAAGCATTTTAAGAAATGCCCATGCAAAAGATTCTATTACATTTGACCAATCAAATCTAATAAAGCATATNGGAACGGAACGAAATTTCACGTTCCGGAACAATATTTTTGTTCCGTTCCGAATCCCTGCTTAAAAGACCCTCAATAAAAATCGCTAACACATTTTTACAGACTATAAAAAGACCATTTTCTCTAAAACAAAAGTTCTTGGTCAATATTCTCTCACATACAATTTGTGTCAGTATATGTAAATATTTTCATTTCTTTTAAATGTAGCAACTATGAATTTCTAAATGATAACATATATAACTAGCCAGTTTATTAGATAATGAACTAATAAATAAAGTTACTGTTTAATAAAAACTTTTGGAATAGTCAGATGAAAATAGGATGAGTACGCTTATCCTTCGACCATTACTATAAATTGTTAATAACTTCGGAAATACTGGTCCAGAAAATATTAATAACTTATCATTTTCTTAATTAGAACATTATCTCATAAATACGATTTTTAATTATGTATTGCTATTATAAAAATAATGTTGGTCCCTTATATCTATTAAGAATGAATATAAGAAATATTTACATATTGCAAAAAAGTATAGAACTAAAACAAAACAAAAAAAAATGTATCAATATTTTTTTTTAAATAATTGAATCATGATAAATATAGCATCATGTGAATATACACAGTACTGGTCTTAAGACTTTTAGTGTAAGCATTATTTTCGCAACTATAACAAAGTTATGACTTTTGTGAAAGAATAAGCCAAACACAAATTTTATAACTTATTAACAAATATTTCTTGATGAAATATAGAGAAATCATAGTCTTTTCAACAAATAATTTATTGATTTTTTATAGTATAAAATAATCATAAAAAAGGAATTATAAGGATAAATAATTACAATTCAAAGATTATTTAAATTTGATTTTATTCATAAAATATACAATATTTGTATGATAATTTATATAGTCCCCAGTTTTTTTGTCAAAAATAAAATATACTCAAATAGTTATACAATTTTCAGACTATTGACAAAAATATGTGAAATGAAATGGTCATAATAAGAAAAAAGACGTATAAATATAAGTTCATAATGTAAAATTTTTGTAAAAAAATATGACAAAATTGATTTACATTTGTAAATTTTTAATAGATTATAATTGTATAAATAAATAAATAAAGTAATATAACAGTATTGGAAAACTAAGATTTTGATTAAGTAAAATAGGCTAATTATTTGTAAAAATAAATCTACATGACTTTGAAAAATATGTACTTCATTTATAACAATAATACGCATATTAAAAAACAAACGAACAAAAGTGAAAAGTATCAATATATATATATATGCTATCAAAATAGTCACAGGACAGGAACAGACTTAAAGTAGCTTAAAACCGATATAAATTTAAATAATATTTATGATGACAAAAGGGAAAATGAGCAGTAGTAATCCTGTTTGTGTTTGTTTCAACAATTTATTTTATACAATTCAACATATTCTATTTAGTTTACAATTTAGTTAAATGTAAGAAAATATTTTTTTTTTTTTTTTACAATAAGAAAATGGGAGTAATAAATTGGTAACATCTAAAAAAATAATGCTTTTCATGTAAAAGGTACAAGGCACATTTATTTCTCTTACAATCTAACAAAAATTCATAATTTTGAAAAAAATAAATTGCCAAAAAATTATTCATTTTATTACATTTAAATTACTATTATTTAGTATTTGCTATTCTATTATAATTCCTAAACCAATTTTGATCAACAGTCAATTTTAAACATCCTGACTAGATCTTAAAAAAAAAAAAAATTACAAAATTCTAGTTTACATTAAATGGAGGAGGAACAAATAAATCCTGTAATAACAGGGCGAGAGGGAAAAAGGTAATTTGTCAAAATAGATTGGTTCATGGAATGTGGATGTCATTAAGCTCTAGTTTCCCTTACGTGTTGAAATAGCATCGTACCCTTAACAAAAAGAGCAGTCGTTATAGGACGCTGAACTAATATCACAATAGTATCCTTTTGTTATTACAAAAATTAAAAAAAAAAAAACAATAATTTAGTTTGTTCGAAGGTCTAGTTGACAATAATAAAAAATTGTACACACAAGATCAACAAACATGAACCCTAAACGAGCGTTTTCAACACAACTTGGTTTGAGTCACAAATTCAATAAAAATAATTAACCTTACAAACTAAAGTACATATTATTAGTTTGAGAGTAACAGTGTTAAGCACTTTAATCTCATAATTTCGGACTATGTTTGTTTGCAGTCACTTGTGTCATCTGCATGGGTCGAGTAATACTTCAATCCAAGTAGGACAAGAAGTAATCTCTTGCCGGGAATACTTGGGACCCCATCCTTTGGCAAAGCTTATGCGCACAGCATTTGGGTCAACAGGTCCTACACGTAATCCATTCGAATAACGAATACGGTCGCCATGAGGATTACCCGTAAATATATTTAAACAGTGGCCCGAAGGTACACGGAACACCAAGTATGACCTGCTGTCAGGATCATCAAGAGTAGGTGAGTTTACAAACATGGGCCAATCACTTAAATTGTATGCCCATACACCGTCGTCTTCTCTGCTCAGTGCTAGACCTACAATTAAATTACTCATAAATACTTCTGTTTATTTATAGTTTATGATTTATATATATATTCTTTTAATTTACCTTGTCCGATTTTGGTCCTATTTCGGAGCACTGAATCCGGGGTTTGTTGGGTAGGCGAATAATTGTGCTGAGTAAGAGCAGCAAGAGAAAGCCCCGTGCCTATGGGTACATTCCAAAACACATTTACCGATTTCGTGTCTACAGGATAGAGCCTACCGACCCTCTGCGACAATTCCCAATAGGCAACTTTACACCATTCTTTTTCATTTGGTTTTTCTGTAAAATAATATAAACGCACAATTAATATTATTTAAAAATTAGTCTAACAAAAATTATAACACAGACAATTTACTCATATAACAAAAAAATGTATTCATCTTACAATAGCCTCTAGAATACTATTTTTATTTTGGTATTTTTAATGGAAGTAAATAATAAAAAAAAAATTAATCAAATCATAGGGAATTATTTTCATTCAGATCCTCTTATTAAAAACAAATTATTAGTTGTTGTGCAAAGGTTAATGTTAAACATTTTTCAAGACCTCATCACAAATATTGTTTTTATAATTTTTTTATGGAAAACCCAAATTTTGTATTTTACACTGAGTGTAAAAATGACTATATGATGTAGCTAATTTATACTACTAAATAGTACACCACCACATGCTTCAATAGATTTTTGAAACACGAACACGAAATAAATATCTAACCTTTTCACAAATATAAGTGACGTAGATATACAAGAAAAACCCACGACAAAACCAAAGCAAAAAAACTGTAAACCGAATAGGATAATAACACATCTTAGGGGTAGACTAGTTCGTGTTGCTTCTATTCCAGTCTTTTTCTCCGCTATATAATAATAGTAATAATGGTGATAACACTATGAACGACGGCGGCGGCGGCAACCATATGTGATTTTGGCCTTATTGGTACATAACGTTATGGAAAAAAAGGTCGAACCGAGTTTAACCGCACGCACTCACACGAAATAATAACAATGGCCCCGAGGGATTCAATAATGTACTGGCGGTACAGGCGATGATGGATGGATTCTCCGAGTAATCGAGTAAATAAAAAAAATAATAATCCACCAAGAGCACGTGATACCCTCCTCTACGTGTTACACCAAAACTGGTAAAAATCATCTGTGCAATAGATCCAACGCATTTAACGATTTCAGTGCAATTTTAATCGAAGCTGATCATAACATGCAGTTGGCAACGATAAAAATGATGATGTCTTTAAACATGTTAGTCACAAATATTTTGATTATTAAACTTCTAAATAATTTAGAAGTTTAATAATCAAAATTATTAAATTCAATTATTGAAAAATTACTACTACTACGACGAACTGTAGGCGTTATAAATAATATTTTTTATAGTCATCACAAAAAACAAAACAACTGTTGTAGTGTTCATTACTGTCTTTGGAAATGAATATCATCAATTCGTATCATCGCGTGTTCACAAGACAAAGTAAAAAAAATTTTTTTGAAAATAAAACGAGTGGAAAAAACAAACAGACGGGGTTTCTATACCATAACAGACGGCGGCTGCCGTGGCGCGTTTTTAGGTACTCTCCGAGGCATTTCTAACATTCCGGGCGGCCGCCCGTCGGCTGATAGGGCGCCGCCCACCACTCGCATTCCACCGGCGTCGTCGTTTCGTCCTTCTTCCTCTGTGGTACTTTTTTATTTTTAAGGATATAACCGTCGCCGCCACACTACACACACACCAGTCTCCTCCACGCATAGGTTAGTAAATAATAAAAAAGACGCCGGATCTCTACTTGTCTTTACAAGAAGAGCACGACAACGATCCAAAGAATACGTTATTATCATTGTCGTCGTCGTCGGTCCAGCTGTTTATTGTTCCACCCTCTCGTATCTAACACATACACTTGAATAAAAAAAAAAAAAAACATGAATGAAACACAAAATATTATACTCGCAACAATAAACACAAATATAATACTGTACACAATATCAAGGTTTAATTACAAAACGTCTAAGCTCCATAGTTATATAGCTCTAGATATGGTTTAATAACAACCAATTAACAATTGGCACGTTTAATTGCATTGTTATATTCGACGCGCAACATGTGACACTTTCATGTTATAAACGTCAAGACGATAGGCACGAAATTGTAAATATTTAACTTGAGAATTAATTACCGAGGAAAAATATCACATGCAACACCACTACCACCTACAAAATTCATTCATAAGGCATCGGTGAAATAATTCAGTAAAATACACGATGAAACATAAGCCACTGTTTGAGGCCCACTGATGGGTTTGGATACTCTTTTCCAATACATTCTGTAGAGTTCCCGTAAAACCGCAGGTAAAACTGATATTTGCCTTTAAGGTTAGCGTCGAGGAAAAGTAGACGACGACGACAACAATGTTCAATAGTTAACCGAATAATATTCTATCGATAGTTTTCCTAGTGGTCGGCGGCGTATTGCATCGTTATTACACGTCTGTTGTTGCAAAACAAGCCGACAGACAGTTTTAATGCAAATTCGGTACTTCTTCAGTGATAAAAAAACCACTACCAACTATATGAACGCACCGAAAAGCAGCGGTTACATTAAATCAACTCAACGAAACAAGTTAAAAACGCAGGGGCCCCCTTCTTTGTGCGATCGAGTAGTAAAACGTTTTGTATGACGTTCCTGAACTATGTTCGTGTGAATGCGGAGCGACGCGACCCGAGAGAGAAATCGTCGTCGTGAACAATACACGTGAAAATGATTAGGAAGTAATGAATGAACCGGTCAAAACCGAGTTAGGTCGGAGGACGTCGTCGCCGCCGCCGTCGAAACGCAGTCGACACGTTTGAAAAAGTTACGGTGCACATATAGTACGATTTTGAAATATCGTCATGTTAATGGACAACCTCACGCTAAAGGCATACGGACTATAAGCGCATTGGACCGGTTTTGTTTTTTTGGACTTCACGCGTCTCATTTTTAACGCACACAAACGCATAAATTTCAATTCGTTCAATACCGGCGGCGCATAACGTTCGCAATGACATACCCGTAGCGTATAGAGCAAATTTCGGCTAGTTTTTTAAGAAAAATATTGCAAATGTAAATGAAACCATTATCTCCTAACTACGGAGGGGGGGGAGAATCTATCTGATCCTAAGGAACAAATAATCAGTGCACCCTACACTACATTAGTCGAGTTATTGTTTTTGATTCTTAGGTAAAATAATTACCAAGGCGACCACCCGTTCGTTGCATTGTGAGTAGTGACCAGTTTTGGGCGCCATACAACCGTCGCCGGCGGTGCTAGCGCTGTGTGAACGCGGCTCAGCACGGCACGACGACCGACGAACAGCCAAAAGCAAGTCGGCGGCGGCGACCGGTTCTCCGAAACGAGTGGCGCGGCGGCCGTGGAAAAACAGGGAGTACGTACACGGTGGGGGCCCGTGATGAATGGCCCCGGCACGACGGCGGCGCAATGGATGCCGGCAACCGGATCAGACTGGGCGCCACGGCGGCCCATCATTAGCCACCAACACACACACACACACACGCATAATACACTGTTGTACTGCTGTGTACGGAGAGAGAAAAACACACAATACAATAAAAATCTTAACAAATCATCACATACAACTGTACCAAACTAAAATAGATGTCTGTACAAATTGCACGTAAAAAATGAGGTTTATAGAAATATTAAGAATAACATCGCTGGATAGTTTTCGAATAAACCTTTGAAAATAAGTCTCGAACAAATATTTTCGACCCTTGTGATTCCACACACACACACACACGTTGTTTAACTCTGCCGACGGCAAAAATACATATAATATTATATCATGTAAATATTTATATTTGTATTTTATTTTATGCGACGACGATGACATCATGTTGTTCTCGAATCAACAGCGTTGAAATGACGTCACGGGCGCCAGTAAACGACGGCCGGCGGTCTTTTGTGATGGTTATTTTTATCGGGGCCGAGACGGCTGTGTGGTGTGTGTGTGTTTTTGTCCTAGTGAATCGTGTTGTATATATTATATATGGCGTGTGGCCGTTTCAAATGAAAAAATTTAAACAAAGCTTGTCCTTTTTTCGCTATTCGTCACAGAAAAGACTACGATATCACTAGTGTGCAAACATTTTGAACATTAATATACACACAGTGAATAATACATACGATATCGTCTCAACGACGGCGGCGGCACACATTTTTTATAATTGATAATAATAGTAACAGAAGTAGTGTAGTAGTCGCCGTTGCCATTACCATCATATCCTTGGTGGGTCTCTGTCACCCAACCCTCTCCTCCACCAGATAAATCACACCACCTATACCGTCCGCCTAGACTCGATCAATCATCATACGGTCGTCATAGTTGTCGACGCCAACAACAGGCGCCGCTCATTACCACCGTCGCGACCGCGAAAACGATCAACAACACGCCACCGGTTTATCATATTTTAATATTATAAAATATTCACGTAATATTATATTACTGTGGCTGCCCACCCGTACAAGCAGCAACAAACATAATATATTGGAGAAGTATTGTTTTTCATTATTCCCAGGCCGACAGTGCAGAGGTAATAATTAACGTTATTATCGGTGAAACATGGTCGTCGAACCCATTTAATACTACTATATAATCGTTAAACGAATAATACGTTGAAAAAAAAAAAAAAAATAGTTTCATTACCGGGCCGATATTTAATCTACTGGCGCCTGTGAAGTCCACGTCAGCCCGACGGCTGACCTTCCGACATTCGCGATAGTTCGAACCACCCCCGTACCGTGTTACCCAAAAGAGGCGCACGATTCTTTTGTGGGCAACTATCGACGGCGGCAATGAGCAATAATAACATTATAATATTACAATCGTTTCCGCGTCCGAGTCGGTTACGCGATGGTTTCGAAGGAGGTGGACCGCTAACCATCGCCGCCACTTGTAATTAACCTTTGGTGAGTTTTTTTTTAAGTTTGGTCGGGCGCCAGTCGGTCGCGCGGGTGCACCGCAAAATGTCATCTGCCCGACCTCGTCCCCACCGCCGTCGTAACGATACGCGTGCAATAATATAACAAACAACAGCCGTATAGATAGACATGAAATTTACTACGAGTCATTCGAGGGAAGCGCCCACACGACAGTTCTCACGTTCCTCATTACGGCTGTTGGTAAAAAATAACATTTTAAATGTTCATGGTGCATTTTGCACGGATTGATTTTTGAGGATTAAACACCCGATATTCGAGACTAACGTGAGCCGTCGTCTCGAACAGAAATAACTAGGAAATCCGAACGGATTTCTACTGATTAATATAAAAAAAAAATGAAATAGAAAATTACTATCACGACCGTTGGCAGAAACCGAGAGTTTCGGCGCGTTTTCGACGTGAGTACCTCCTAAACGTGTTTAGCATTAATAGCACAGCAAGAATTGTTTAATGGTCCGTGTTATTAATGAAGTTAAAAGTAAAAATTTGAAATTACCGTCGCCGTCGGTGCTGAACGATCCTCGGAGCTCGTCGTCGTTGCTGTCCCAGCTGCATTCACTCGGAGCCCGATCTGTAAAAATAAAATGGTAAAAAAATGTTAGCGACCACATTTTAGACATAGTATATATATACACACGCGAGCACAACTAGAACGTACTTATATTACATAAGTCGTCGGTTTCTATAACGTGAACACGGCGACGTTAATTAGGAATGACCAACGGAAATAATTCTATTTCAGGATAATTGTTATTGCAGTCCGCAAAATGTTTTGAATAAATAGACCGTTAATTTGTCCACCGTACCAATTTAGTTTTTTATTCGTATTTGCAATGGCGCATAGCGTGCGACAAACCCTAATTAAGTAGAACAGTCACCAGCACCACAATGCACGTGTTTAAAGTTCTAGGACAAAGACATCAGAGATTTATGCCGAGATTAAAGCCGACCATTAGTAGTGCAGCCTCCTCCTTCTACTGCATCATAATATAAAACGAGTAATTGACCTATTTAATGACTCATTGTGCGTACAAAGTCCGTCCGAGACACGCGAATCACACACGCGTGGACCGAAAATACGATTCCCACGATCTCAGTAAAACAGAGACACTTTAATAGATACCAAAGTTGTTAGTTTACATTAAACTTGCGTTTTGTAATACGATGTACGTATTGATTTTTTCGAGCAAATGTGAATTATCGAAATGCCACAAATATCGATAACAATTGCATAACACTAACAAATGAAAAAACAACGCAATTTACAAAAAATCTCTTTCGAGACTCTGTAAATTTTAAAATTTCTTATTATCTATTTTGATTTTTTGAACGAATCGCCTGTGCTTCGATAAAACAGAGAAAATTTCATATAATTTTATCATACACAAAATAAAATTTCACAGTTTATTTTTTGCTTTTCTATGAGAAAAACGAACGNCTTTCGAGACTCTGTAAATTTTAAAATTTCTTATTATCTATTTTGATTTTTTGAACGAATCGCCTGTGCTTCGATAAAACAGACAAAATTTCATATAATTTTATCATACACAAAATAAAATTTCACAGTTTATTTTTTGCTTTTCTATGAGAAAAACGAACATGACCGGCGATGAGTCTATATCAGAGGGGTAAAGCTAAAGATGTGACTGGAATGCGACCGGTGGTAGTCATCTCCGGAATGATAATATTACGACATAGACGTTAAGAAGAATAACGTAGGCGCACATAGAGAAAAACAATACTGTTTGTACGAACAGCGTGTATTACCCATTGCGAATGAGATATTATTAGAAAGAGAAAAAAACTATAACAATTTCATTGTGTGCGAGCAAGAACGGTATTAAAACAGGTCGCGGGGATGGCATGGCAACAGCTTGAATTGTGCACCGAGTGTTTTCATATTATTCCTGTTCTCTCTCGATCGACTGAGGCGAATGACCACATTCCCGACGAATGAATCTTCAGTTTCTTTTTTACACTCTCTCTCTGTCTCTCTCACAAACCCTACCGCCGTATTAACTGTGTCTTTCTCTGTCCCGGCTGTCACTCGGCACACAAAACACCGACCGGGTTATTTTTATATACAAATTGAACATTATTATAAGAAGAACGCCCATGCGGTCGGTCATCGAGTAACTTTGTCATTTTTATTTTTTACCTCTAGCCAACTACATTTTGTCGGACCTTCAATTTTCATTTTCATTTTTTTTTTTATTTCTGTTCGATACTACTCATTGAAACACAAAGACTTATTAATCAGCGAGTCTGCCATCTAACGAACACAAATAGAGCAAGTCCATTGCGTTTTAAGACGACGATATTTGTCACTGACGGGATTTCCTCAAACAAAGGGCCACCGAGTGAACTCGAAATAGAAAACCCAAGCCGTTTGTAAAGAGATGAAAATAATATAAACCAACTCACGGGATTTGCTCTCCCTTTTATTGCTCCACGCGTCATACCTATCGCGCCTGGCCGTTTTTAATGACCCTATTTCCCGGTTTTCTTCTTCCGCCGGCATTGTTTCCCACCCCAGGGACACCGAAACTCATTGAAATGAGTGACAGTACGCGGCGGCGAGGGAGTAAACGTACCAGTCAGCAGCACAACAGAGGCTAATCTCCAAGCTTCCACTCGAACGGATTATTTTTATGTGCGTCGCAGGGACGACGGTGGTCGTTTCGCCAAAGCCTCTGCCGCACATAACCCCCGGGGAAGAGGGTGAAGAACACGTGGCGTACCTGCTTCTCCACCGCTACCGTCAGGGTTAGAAATCGGACGAGGGTAAAATTGGAATTCCAGATCGTTTTTCACCCTCTTCTTCATACTCGCTCTCCTGTTGCCGGCAGGCATCTCAAATGCCCGAAACGGTTTATGACGCGTTTTGGCGAACTATGCGGAGGGCGAATAGTAGGCGTACACGTCGAGAGCACACACAATGGGGACCGGAAGATTACTTAGTACTTTCCTCAAAGCAACGGTCTTACCGCTAATATCACAAGGACCCTGTACGCCGTCAACATTACGCAGAACGAAATCTTTCATGGGGTGTAACGGAGCGGAAATGAGGAACGTGACAAACAGAGTTATGACAGACTCGACGAACGGCAGAAAATTAAGTATTATTACAAAATCAGCGAAACGAACTTTTCATCATAACACGTCTACCAAATTACGTTGTCGAATCAAAATATAAACGATAAAAAAATGCTTTGTTAGGAAGCATCTTGTGGTAGAAGTTATCGATCGTACATAAAGAAATTGAAAGTCATAAACCAGACGATTTAGTCTGGACCTGTGCCATCACCACAATTTAAACATTTTCCGTTCTCCCGTAATACTATTTCAAAAATAAGTTGAGATGAATTAAAAATGTATGGGAAATAAACAAAATAAATATTTGAAAGAAAATGTAGATTAAAATTAGTGGACTCAAACATATTACACAGCCGATAAAATAGCTACTAAACATTTATGCGAGTTTGAAGCGAGATATTTATTTTATTCAAAAAAAAAAGACTTATCACGAACGGAAAAAAATGTTGAGATTAGAAAAAACATAATATTTACAAGCCGCGTGTACAATAATATAAGCAAAATAAACACTTACCTTCGGGTTTTAGTTTTTCTTTAATAAACCTTGAATAAGGTGGCGGAGGTCGTTCTGAAACAAATAAAGACATAATTTTAATATAATTGTTACGAATGAGAATATTTTAATATAAATGAGTACTACCTCCTAATGAGTTAGGTGAAATAAATGTGATTTTTCGCAAGCATAAAAGAACAAAACGAAATCGACAAATGTAACCGCCACAAGTAAAATTTATGGTACACGTTCACTCGCAACTAATAATCCCATTAAAACATTTATTTCGTCACGAAGACGACTAGGAGGAGCTGACAAGACACCACTTGTTTGGTTCGTATTGGAAGGCGCGCTATTTTTACACACACACTCAACAAAGGCGTAAACACAAGACGGTCGCAAAATAGATAATTGTTTGCGAGCAATAGATTCGGTCGTTACGTGTACATGAAACAGCCAACTACGCGTACGCATCGACCGTCTTGGCGGCGTCGGTCTGAAGTCCATTTAATTCTCATCATTATTCATACGACGATAAAAAATAACCAAGGCGCCAGAGTTTTAAAAATAACCATAACACAAGATTAGAGTCAAATAAACAGCACATCAATCAAAACTTGATACACACACGCACATTTGAAAACTTGTCAAAAATAATTCGACAGATATCACGACTCTCGAATATGAACTTTCGGTTTATTGAAATTATCCCAATTATGCACGCACATTGCGCTCATATATTATTGCACACGCTAACCCGCGTCGCAATAAATCCCATATTCAGACACTAAAACGCCCCCAGTGTGGTTTTGAACTTTGGACGCCTTCGTCCTCGCCGACGGACGCCTTTGTGGAACCCACGAAGGCGACAAGTTGCGATGACGGACATCGTATTCACACGCGTATAATTCACGTTATAATATATAGATAATACGTGTATAATAATATACCGGTCGACGTGCGTTGACGTTCACAGTATGTTAGTGTATATATGTATATATGTACTCACGAGTCGGGCGCGCAAGTGTGTGAGGATAAAGCGGAGAGGAACGCGCGCGGTTGGGCGCCTCAACGCGGCGGCGGAACTGGTGGCGCCGTCGGGTTGCGTGACCGGGTCTGCGCGCTATTTATTTCTCATCCGGCCCAGGTGAAGTGGCCGCCGCAACCGTCGCCGTTGTGACGCAATTGGTACCAACCAAAACGATTATTATCGTTACAAATACACAACAATCATCGCATTGATCGAGAATACATCTGACATCATAAAATAAAACGTAGGGAAAAATACGCGCACCAGGCCTTTGGAACGGAATGAACATTATATCGTTGATTAAATTAAAAGGGGCCGCGCCTTATCATGGCCATGGCTTATCACAGTAAATGCTCTGAACATTTCCAAGAATAATAATCGCTGTTATTAAAATGTCGGCGGCAACTTCGCAGCAACCGTGATACATCACATACGCCGACCGGCATTGTGCACGTTTATCGACAGATTACATAGAAATCCTGTAAGGTGCGGTGTGCCCGGCGAAGGTTAAATAAAACGTAATACTATTGGATTTTTTTTTTTTACCGAGACGACGTACAGGGAAAAAACATCTCGCATAGTTTTACAACTCGTGTAGACTAGACTCATCTATGCATACCATATACGAAATAACACCGACTTTATTGCCAATAATTATAAATACTGTCAGTTTTACTGTTAATTCGAGTTAATCATTGCTAAAAGAGCAATGAAACGATGAATCTTGTATCAAATAAATTTAAATTATGATTAAAGGGGTAATTAGATAAAGGTATTAACTGACATTTTAAAATTGTTAAGAATGCTACTTTTTAAATGAATATTAAAGAGCTATGGAACTTTTTTGACACAAAATATATGAAATTACTTTCATAAGACAAATATTACAGGTCTAGCGATGTTTTTTTATGTACTAACACTTAAATTTGTTAACACTTAAATAAAAAATGCCAGATAACAACTTTATCCACTGGCCCCTTCCCTTTCCAATTATCATATGAAATTTAAGGACACAACTAGAAAAACAAATTTTTATTTCTCAGACAGACACGTAATATCAAAAATCAGTCAACTAATAAACATGTATGTAAATAGTGATTTAAGCAGAATATTTTTGCTTTAATTGTTAAAAACAAACAACATATTTTTATATTGAAACTTACCAATTTCACATCGTTTACTCCAATGGTACGGGTTGCAGCATACTAAATCTGGTAATCCAGTTGACGAGTACTGTTGTTGGCAGGCAGGTGTAGCCTTTAGTTGTTCGGCGGACTTGAGGTCAGGCCACCGCCACAGTCGACAGCAAATCACCGCTGGGTCGGCGAACAGGAAAGGCCTAACAGCTACACATTCGGCCGCATCCGCGCCAACAGTATCCACGGCCCTGAGTAATGTTTCCAGCTGCCGGTCATCGAGACGCTTGAAAAGCGCGTTTCGAAACTGCCGCTCGTCCGAGTCTGGACCGGGCGACAAGGCCGGCGGCTGGCCAACAGTCTTTTCCGCACACCGGGTTTCATTGTCCCTACGTACCCGAGCCTTCCACAATCGTTTAGCTAATGCCGTCCGCCTCCTCCTGAACATGAACATAAAACACGTGAATGCCGCCTCGCATTTGGTGGCCACTACTTCCGCCGAACCGCCAAACCAAACACTGCGCGGGTCCGCCGGCCGGCGTGACGCGCGCGCGGCAGGTTGATATGTGATCGCGGCGTGCGCAACTCCACGTTTCCCGGACGCATCCGTGTCGGACCGACCGCGGCTGTTGCCGGCACGTCGTCGTCGTCGTCGTCGCTGTTGCTGTCGACGTCGTCCCGTCAACAACGCGGTGCGGCCAAATCGGTCGACACCATCGCGACGCACAAACCACAACAACGCGACGACGGGTAGCAGCTGTAGGACGCGCACCACGTGTTGCAACGACCGCGACGGAACAACAAACTCTCAAACCACATATATTATATTATCTCAACAGTGGTACTGGTTTTCCCTTTAATTATCGAATAAACGATGATATTTCACACGGAGTAGTGCCAGTCGTCCCAACAACTGTTTATCACAACAATATTAATATTAAATAAGATAACAGAACTCACTAAATTTCACAATTGTTATACACACGCACACATAAATAATCCTAATTAGACACCGATAAATTTATAAAACAAACGTGAAATATTTTTATATGTATGAAATATTTTAAAATAAAAAAAAATTAAACGTTAGAAGAAGGCGGCGGAAAACAGTCGACGAACCGACACTATGAACATGCGGTGCAAGACTGACGGGTGAAAGAGAGAAACGCACGGCGTGTGTATGTGTATGGAATGGTGAGGCGACGGCTGTTGCTGTGCGTGCGCGCGCGTTGTTCGGGTAAAGAAAACGGGAACGACGACGTTGTCGTGTATAACTATGCCGGCTGCCCGCCAGCCCGGTGTTAACACCACCTCTCTCCCCGCGACTTACTGGAATAAGAGTACGATGTCTTCTCGCGCGGGGCGCCACCTACCCCGGCGCCAACGGCTATCAGTGCGACCACGCGCGCTAAACCGAATGTCGCGTATCCCACGTGTGGTCCTTTTTACAACCACAGAAAACAACACGTTGTCTGTTAGCGGTATTAGATTAAAATTAATATATTTATATAGAGATTATTACCTTAGTAATAAGCGTTGTACAATAATTACATAATCATGGTTTTAGAGTTATAAGTTTAATCAGAGGTGCTTGTAAGGAAAACATCTTAAAGAATTTGAATCAAACAAAATAAAACAGATTGACTTATAAAATTATGTTCTGCTCCATCTCATTTATTTTTAAATCTATTCTAATGTTAATGTTTAATGAAAGCAAAATGTCTCATCTATCACTCCAGAAAATATTCTTATCCATCATTGTATTATCATATAATAATTACTAAATGTTTTTTATCTATAAAAATGATTTGACTAAAATATGAAATAAAATTCTCATTTTTTACTAGACAAATGATTCACAGTGAATCATTCAATTTTAATTAAATTATTCAATCACATAAATATTAATTCTATCATGAAAATATTGATAAATATTATATAACTACTTTTAGTATGGATTAAGTATTATTTAATATTAATTATTAATAAAAAATAACATTATTTAAATTGCACATTTAATCATATTATTTAAAGTAATCGTTATCCCTAATGGTGGAAAATAAATAAATAACTCAAAAATAGATATACATTTATAAAACAATTTTTTTTTTTATATACGAATTTTGAGGCTTATTTCGAAAGTTTATTACAAGTACTTTGATTAAATACATTTATTTACCACAAAAACGATTTATTGTAGTCTACTAGTATTACAAATTATATTTTTCGAAAAGAACTTCTATACATCTTTGAAAGAAAATCCTTTTATACATTTCTAAAATTGCCTTAAAGAAATAAACTTTATTAAATAATTAATTTATAAATTTAAATTTATAAATAATTTTTTGAACATAAAAATTTTGATTTCACTATGAAGTTTGACTAATATTTCAAGATTACAATTAATTAATATTTTATTGTTAATTATATTATTTCCTTAGGTAAAGAAAAATCTCTAGGGTAATTAAAAGGTCGAGCAAACAAATAAAACCGGCTATTTGGGCGGTTGTAAAAAATACTAAAGCCCCCTCCAAGATTAATGATATAATACAAAATTATTAATAATACTTTCATAATGTATGACAATAATAAATCATTATCAGTCATCAAAGCTATATAATTAAAAAATAAGTGTAAACATAGTTCTTGTTATAATTTTATCCCAATTATTTCACTAGCACTGAATAAAAATATCTATTTTAAACGAAACAATAATTATAAATTTTCCATTTTAATTTGTCAATTCATTTTTTTTGATACCTTAGGTATAGTAAAAGTGAGAGTATTGTAATATTAGTCCTTTTAATTTTTATAATTTAAAAACTAAATATATATTTAATTTTTTTTTCTAGGTACTCAATTTAAAATATTGGCGAATGTTATATTGATACTTTAAATAGCTAAGGGTCGCAGACACTATTGAATTGAACAAAAAGTGTATTTCAAAAGTAGAAAAACGCCATGAAAATATTAAATAACCCATTTATCGAATTTGAATATATAGTATAGATCGCATTAGTTACATAACTATGATTTCTGCTCATTAGCCATTTAAGAAAATTAATAATTTCAAATGGAGTACTATAAATAGAACATCATCATTAAAATAATCTCAAAAGAAATTTATTCATAATTTTTAATAGATCAAATATAACTCTAAATATTACTATAAAAGCAACAATTATGGGACTGTAAATCAATCTATTAAAATACATATAACCACTAAAGTTATTGCTATTTTTATAATAAAACTTTATTAACAGAGTACAAAATTATAAGTCGCACCTTTTCATAAAATTTAATAACCATGTGGGCTAAATCCACGAAAATTGCACACATCTTATACAAGATGCTTCAACTATAAATGTAAGCTATGTCTTAAAACTGTATTTATTTAATACAAGTTAAAAATGATTTATCGACAACCTACTTATTGAAATAAAATGCACATGAATTTCAACGCCAACATCATTACAAACATTAAGTAATATTTTTTTTAATCAACATTACTAAGAGGATTTACCATCTACCGTGGCATATCATGACAATTTTAATTCAAATTCTCCGTAAGTACATTAAATTGTAGTTGATATAAGCTGGGTGTGTCAATGAATTTCTCGTTTTATATATCTTAGTGTACAATTGTTTTGAAATCACAATTCCATATTTTTTTTTTATTAATACACTATTAATGTATAACGGAATAAAACTTGAAGGCTTATCGTAAATACTTTGATTATGTACATTTTTATTTGCATTCGGCGAACTCACATTATACACCATATTACAAAAAACATAGCAACTTTACATATTTTATCTGGTAACAAAAAACGCAAAGGGCTTTATAAACTATAAATCATTAAGTATAAGCCCTTTGTATTTGAATTTCAACCGCAGTGACACAAAAAGATCCGTTTAATCTCTCATAAAACTAATTTGATTGTCGAGTTTATTCCTATTTAGTGTGAATATTTATCTGCGCGGGGCTTAAAAATCAGACGTTTCTTTGATAGTCTTTTACCCTCCTCCTCGTGATGGACGGTGACAAATAACCGCGAAAATCTGATGGTGTTTCTAGGGATCATGTAATTATTTATAGCGCGTTAAAAGTTTTTCTCGGTAACGTTAAATTAGAAATCTCTCGCCTCTGTCGCCTTTGCGATTAATGCGCGACTTCCCCGGCGGGGGGCAACACTTCTCATATTTACATTATTTTTCTTAATAACTATTAAATTATGTGTACATGTTCGTGTATATGTTATTATTATGGTTATCGCCGAGTGGAAGGAGGAGGAAAAGCGCCATTGTTAGTTTCGCCCAAGACGGCAGCGAGTTCCATTAATCTACACGGTTTATTATTAGAAAATGTCCCGACAACGGTTTATAAAGTTGCGTTTTTATTTCTTTAGAGTGCCCCATTAAATTTTATTATGATGAGAACACTTGATTGTTGTTTTCTGCCGACTGTTCTACTAGCGAAAATAAAAAACAATACAAAGTAGGGTACGGTGTTCTTACAGGCCATTCACCGAATTAGGAACTGGCCTAACCTTAAAAACCGGCACCTATCAACTGCATCCTAAATAACATTGACAAAAAAATTATTTAAAATATGCATAAATAAATTTTACATAAATCGCACGAAGTAAACCACCTGTGTTTAATTTAAACGACTTAGGTTAGGACTAATATTAATCTTCCATTGGGCGGTCCATCCCAAATTTCCCTAAACGCAGTTTTAAACATGCAAAAAAGAGTAAACGATTTTAATATTAGATGTCGCGACGATTTGCATTCTGCAGTTTATATTATTAGTTGTGACCAACGCGAAAACTATTTTTAATTATGTGCGAGCGCAGAAATATTTACAAACGGTGCTACGTAGTTTAGCTTTGTAGCCAACGGAGGAGACTATTAAAGTAAACAAACAAAATGCAGTTTGCATTGGTATTAAGAGTCAAATAAAAACGAAAATCAAACATCTGAAAGGTCGAAATTAAAAAAAAAAATACTATTAAATATTTAACAAAATTATGAAAATTTATAGCTATTTGCTCTGTCATTCTCCATTCAGTATATTATTTTCAAGACTGAAATTCATTTTAGTACGCTTTGCTTTAGGATTAACAATATTAAACTTTTTGTCACAATCTTTTAATTTTTTTCACACTAGACATTTTAAATTAACATTATATAAAATTTTTTTAGTCGTATATAAATTATTGTCATCAATTATGTACTTAAAATTTATTGAAAATATATTTAAACAGTTTTTATTTTATATCTAATATGTGTCATAGCTTCAGGGTAACCAATTTTTATGCATAATAAATGATTGCCTTCTTCATGCCACGAAAATTGCACAGAATATGTTATATGAAAATCTTAAATATAAATTTGATAAATTAATATAAATTGTAATATAATTAAATTCATATAATAAATATAATTTAATATAATTAATATAAATTTGTTTTGGTATTTCATATTCATTTAGGTTTTTTAATGTATTGCTAAATTTTTCGATTTAGANTAATATAAATTGTAATATAATTAAATTCATATAATAAATATAATTTAATATAATTAATATAAATTTGTTTTGGTATTTCATAATCATTTAGGTTTTTTAATGTATTGCTAAATTTTTCGATTTAGAATTTTAAAATTTCTGAGCACTATTCTGTTAAACATAAACAAATATTAGTTATGATCCTGATAACAAAATACTTTAAAGTAAGCCCAGACCTAAAAAAAATTCATTCTAGGACACATTACTAAGCTCAAAAATAACAGTTAATTACTAGCAAGTAACTCGATGCAACAATTAATAACTCTATAAAAATTATTAAATTTATTATTGTAATGTTTGATACATTATTAATAATACATTTGTGTAGTATAATTTATAACTTAATAGGGTGGTCTTAATTTTATTATCCGATGAGAATAGAATTAAATAATGTTTTTACGCCATATGCATACAATTAGAATAATTGGGAAATTGCCATTGTAAGCAAACGAGGGCGCCGGTTTTTAATACTTATAAATATTTTATCGGTTCCAAAAAAAAGTTATAATAAACTGCTTATAACATTTTTATCGTCATCCGTTTCAATGGTTTTACGGTTACAAGCATCAGTATTTACTATTTAATACACTACGTGTAGTATGAAAATAATTTCCGCTGGCCGTTAACCTGTGCGATGTACCTGTACACTGGTA